AAGCCGCCCCTGGACCTGACCCGTGCGGTCAACAAGCAGCTCCGCGAAGAGGAGGCCGACGCCGCCAGAGGCAAGGGCAAGAAGCGCGGGCAGCGGGGCAAGAGGGGTCGACGGCAGCAGCAGAGACCCGGAAGCGCCAGGGGCAAGAGGAGCTCGGGGGCAGGTCGCAGAGGGAACCAGGGGGGGCCTGGAAGCCTCAGCAGCAAAAGGAAAAGAAAATGAGCCTTCGTTGGATGGGGTTGCCATGCTATCCCAGCTAAACAGCAGACTGGAACAGTTTTCTCTATTTCATATGAGGCTACAATAAAAAAAATATTGTTGAAATTTATTCTAACTTGACATTGGCCTTTAACCCCCACCCCCCCCCAAACGTTGTGGAGCATGACTAAAGAGTGTATAAAGACTTAACTAAAAAATGAGCAATAAATAAAGATGTGGTATAGATAAAGCTACCTTTGGGAGAATCCACTTGAAGAAACTGTCATATTAGATGTACTGTACAGACAGATGCGTTTATTGTGAGTTGGATTGACTGAATGTTCAAAGAATAAGACTGCAAAGGAGTTGAAATATAAAGTCCTAACATGCCGTGTTTCTTTTAAATGAGAATTGAAATGGACACTTCTCAGGAAGTGAGCTGCAGTGCTACTTTTCCTGTATTTCTTTCATGTGTGTCTGAATTACAGTATCCCCATTGCCAGTGGGGACAAAGGCAGATCACTAGAACAGTATTGGGTTGACTTGATGGTAGCTCTGACTCTTGTGTATGTGTTACAGTGTTAAGTGCACATACAAAAAAGTAGAGCTTGTCTCACCAAAATACTGTTTTCATCACTTTGACAATGTGGATCCTGCTTTTAGCAAAATTGTGGATTCTGGATTGGGGCATGTGTGTGAATATATATATTTGCCCACTGTTCTTATAGCAAGATTGGGGACATAAACCTCTGGCTTCCTTCTGCAAGTTGCTGTTTTTCTGCTGTTCTTAGCAGCAGGGAGTCATAAAATCTTGAATTTGATCACCAGGACAGAAACTTCTATCTCCTTCCCAACAAGCCCAGCTTTATTAAAAACATGAATGTGCTCCTTCATATGTTAAAATCACAAAGTGGTTTACAGGAATATAAAATCTATTAAAAAAAATATTAGATGGAGTTAATGGTTGGGAAAGGTTAACATAAAATGCTATGTTTTTAAAAAATGTGCTGAATGTGTTTAATCCAGAGTAGCTATGTTTTTGATTTGAGTTTTGGCAGGACATGTTCCAGGAACTTAAGGAGATGGAGTTTATATTTACATCATACTATAACTAAATTGCTGGGTTCATATCTCCTTTGAAGACTAAAACAGATTCCAGACTTTTGAGGGCAAATAAAATTTGTTTTACACTTTTTCAAAAAGGCTAATGCTTAATTTGAATTTAAGTGAAACATAGTATAAGAAATACAGATATTTAAGCCCTTAATTTCTACTTTTATTCTTTGAAATAGAATATTCTTTGAAAATGCTTTGAAAAATCACATCTTATGAATTAATCTTGAGGTTATGGTGTTTTTGTTCACCAGAGCCTAAGAACTGTTTTTTTAAAAAATAATAAATTATATCTACAAAGTGATTAATGATAGTTATACAACCTTGCTGAGATTCTATCTGGATCTATATTGCTCATTAAACATGGAATCTAGGATTGGTCATATATTTAAATACTAGTAATGCCTTTTAAATAAACTCAGAGGACACAGGTCATTCCCCTAAACACAAAAAATGGTACTTTATATGATACTTTTTTTTACCCAGTTTGTTTTGTTACTTAAAAGAATATATTATGTCATACATCAAAAATGAAGTGTCTGCTCTATGGAATTAAGAATGGTGGGTGGCATTTACCTTTTTTTTCTTAATTAGATTTGTTATCTTGCCTTTTTTATATATAATTCAAGGCAGCAAACATACCTAATACTGCTGTCTCCTGTTTTCCCCACAACAACAACCCGGAGAGGTTGGTTGGGCTGAGAGTGAGTGACTGGCCCAAAGTCACCCAGCCGCTTGTGTCAGTTTTAACTTATTTTGTGGCAAATTGGGATTCTTTGGGAAAAATGAGGGGTACCAATACTGCTTGCCATTTTTGTATTAGGAAATTGGTGTTTTTAAAGCCAACTTTCATGTACATTATTTATTTGATTTTTATTCCACCTTTATACCCAGAGAGTATATATCATTTAAGAACAGTAAATAACCTGAACAGAAAATGCTTTCTATTACTGTAGAAATGCTAAAAACACTGCACATGCCACAAGCAAATATATAAGATAATTTAAAAGTAACAGAGGGCTAGACAACTGGCAATACAATTTCCAGGCCCTATATTATCCCCAGATGCAAATCAGCCCCTTCTATGTATGGACCTAATTCTTTGCATGAACTAAGAAGCTAAGTCTGCAGCTCCAATGAACACAAGATTTTGTTACCGCAACATGCATACCAATGCTTAACCATGGTTTATGTAACCCAGTTTTTCTGGGGCCACACAGCATAAGTGTCAGGTTTAGCCCCAGGAACTCCAAGAGACAGTGCAAATTCAGTTCAGCTGTGTTTATTAGCTACAACCTCTAGCAAGAATCTCCCCGGACTGAACCCCAGCTCCCAAGCCAGCCAGCCACCACACCGTGAATTCCTCAGGGAGGTGCCAGCCTTATCCTCTTGAAGTTCCCATGCTCTTGCGGTGAACTAAGAAAATCTTGTCTCCCTGAGCCTGCCTTCATAATTCCATTCCATCACAATAAGGAACTATATGAATCATAAGGACAGCCAGCAGGCTGAGTTCACAAAACATGGTCTGTTAAAATATGGCTGGCTGGTTTGTGTTTCAGTATGTCATGGTAATGTAGTCAGTGTCAGATAAGAGATCCACCCATTAGGTCTAAAGTTCTAAAATGTCCAACAGGATGAAAAAGAAGATGAATGCATCATTGCACTCTTCCTGACCTTGGAGATTCCAAACCGATTCCGACTCTCAGCGAGTTGCTACAGTGGGTTACCCGCCAGAGGAACAGCTATTTCTCCCTTTCCCTTTCTGTTTACGCAATTTCTCCTAACTTCACTTTCCCATCGTCCCTTGCTACCCCAAGCAGGGCTGCAGAAGTCATGGCAGGAGGAGGACGCGAGAGGGTGGCTCGTTTGCTGAAGCAGCTGCAGCTGGCAGCGTGAGTGTTTGTATCTTTCTCCGTTTCTTGCTTCTTAATGGGAGCATCTGGCAAAGGCAGCCTGGCTGACTTTCCACAAAATCTGAATCAGGCTCAGAAGTTTCGATTCTTTGTGGTATTAGAAAAAACAACACCACACCAATCCTTCCTTGTAAGAAAATACTTGACAATTCTACAGGTCCTAAAGCCAAGTTGAGGGATTGTTACCTTTGGAAGTTGTTACTCGAATTTACTTATTTCCATCTAGAGTCCTGCTAAGAGAAAGACAAACAGAATGCTAGAATCTCTTTCAAAAGGTTGTTTGATCAAGCACAGAAGTGGACTTTGGTGTGTACTGAAAGTGAGCAGCAACGCATGGAAATGCTTGAGTTTACAAATGGAAACAAAACAGTTTATTTAATACTGTTCATGTACTGGATGTGTATCTACCCTTCTGCAACATATATACTCTGGATAGTAATGCAGCATTTCTGGGAGGAAATGCAATATTGAAATCTAAAATATAGTAATTAAAATGCCATACCAATATTTTTCAGTGAAGAAAAGTAAAGCCAGTTAGTAATAGTTCAGTGTAAAGATATATTTCCTTAGGTGGTTTTCCCTCCCCTTTTTTAAAAATATAAATAAAACATAACTGATGTAAACATTTCTTTTGGAGGAGATTGATACATTTTAACAAGAACTGTATAAAAAAAATAGGCAAGTATAAATGGACTAGAGAAAGTAGATAGGTGTTAACATGAGACACTTATCCATAGTTATTAAATCCAATTTTTGGGGTTGATACAAAATTACAGACCATGAATTAATCTTTATTGTATAAAATGTTTAAATTGCCTGTTTTTAAAGATTCTAGGTAGTGCACAGGTGCAGCAGCAACAAGCCAATGCAAAATAATAAATATCTAAGAATAGAGTAACTTTGAATACAGTAACTTTAGATGATTATACACACACACACCATTATAACTAGTTAACAGTGACAAATCATGCATCAGTAGCTTTTCATCAATCAGGACCCAAAGGCTTTCTGGAACAGCTAATTTTTTAAAGCTTCCAGGCAACCATAGTAGGGGGGATGGACTGTTCCAGAACACAGAAGCTCCCACATGCCTGCTTTGAGACCCTTCTCTATATACTTCTCATTAGGTGGGAAGCTTCAGTAGGCATTCTCTGTTCACTCTGATTGGCCTACAAGAAGGTAGACAGACCTACCCTCCAGGTTGCTGGGAAAATTCCCAGGCACTTCCAGAAAACCCTCTGGATCCCTCAAGTACCAGGCACTAGCCATCAAGTTAGTTATCCTTCTTAAAGAGGCTTGTGGCTTCTGTTAACCCCATAGTCATGAGGAAATTATTTGTGCATGACAAGAAACTGATGGAAATGTCCCACAGCATTGATCATGTCTCCTCTTATCAGCCTTCCCAGGTGGGCCAGACAAGAAACACAAACAGATGAGCTAATTCTACTTTACTGTAAGGGCTACATTAACAGAATCTTGCAAGTCTGAAAATACAAATCTCCCACCATCTCTTTTACCACCTGATAAGTTAGGGAGGTTCCTTTCTGAGTTTCTTTCTCTGTCCATTATGCAGCTGCAGGCTATGCCCCCTCTTATCTGATCATTCCTTAGGCAGCCTCTCTTCTCCCCATCTCCCAAGGTCATTCTCACATACCATTACACATCTGCTCCAAGATGAAGAATAGGTCTAATGTATGGCTAGCCACATGGGTTGCGCCTGGGTTGACCTGGAACATGCCTTGGTTGGCATCGCAGTTATAAATTCCCAAGCTGCATCTGGGAGGTTAAAAAAATCACCCAGGACTCATAGAACCACAGTTTGTCCCTCTGACCTAGCTTTGCAACAGCTAGAGACTCCTGGTGCAAAGTTACTAGTCTACCACCATAGCCACCACTACTACCCTGCCTTGGAGTTGAGCCTGATGCACTATTTGAAACCAGGTTTGATAAATATCAGTGTGGGAGAGTTCCTCATCCAGTGAGGTCTCAGATTTGCTTTCTTATCCACAGTTATACCATGAGAGAATTTAGATTGATTATACACCGATTCAGCATTCAAGAGCACCCAAGGCAATGTGGGTGCCTGGCTCATGAGATGTGGGTACAGAAAGAAATACGTTTCCAATTCCTTTCCCTGGAACAGTATGCCCCCCCCATCTTCATCCATACTTCCCTCTGCCAATCACTACTGTTATTCTCCCCTTCATCTCCTTCTCCCTGCGCTTTTATATTTCCCCGCTTGCAATCACCAAGCCTGCAGACAGATCACACAATTCCACAATTCACTACGCTTGGCAGCTATAATTCAACATCACACACCTCCCAACCTTCTCAAGAAGCAAGTTAGCTTTTCCTGTCTTCCATCTACTTCCACTTCTGTTTATGCCTTCCTCCCTTCTTCCAGTTCTCCACTTGACTCAGCATTTGGGATCTGGAGGCAGGGGGATTCCCTCCCTATTCTCCCACTGCAAAGAGTGGCCCTCTTCACCAGTTCCCTGCCTCTCACTCAGGGATGAGATGATTTTCTCCTCTTTCTCCTGTGTGGCTGTCTGCTCACTGTTCTCTTGGCCAATATAGAGTTCCATACAGTCCATCCTGGGCAGCACAAGGGGCATTCAGCTCTTATTTCCTCACATTCTCATAGCAGCCTGCACAGCCAGCTATTTCTGTATGACCCACAAATTAGCAGCCACATAGTAACCTTGATTTTGTTGTAACTTTCAGCTTCCTTATATTGTCCATTTCTCTTTCCTCCAATATTGTGCTCTCCTGTCTGATTTTTGAAACTATCTTAACTTTCGTTCCGTCCTCCTCCTCTTTCCCATCTTTTATTCTTCTTTCTTGCATCTCCAAGACCAATGGCCATGCTAACTGTTAATTCACTCCTTCAGCTATGCCAGCCAAGAGGGGGTTGAATGATGGCTCTTATGGCTCCCACACTCAATCCCTAGATTTAACACTAGCAGTACCCTGGACGACCTAGACCCTTACTTTGGGCTCACTCAATCCTCCAGACTACGATGTCAGTCCTCGCCACCTCATGATGGAATATGGAGTTTGTGGGAGCCAACCAGTTGGATCTTGTAAAATGAGGCCTCTGGTGTTCATTTTCCTTCTTTTGATATCAGTATTTTAAATCTCCTCCTTTCCAACTTTAATTCAATCCGACAAACTCACCAGGTTTCTCTTTTCTTCCTTTTTAATGCTGCTTTTTGTGCTTTGTGGATTGTCAGCAAATAGTCTTAGGCAAGCCAAAAAGTGCAGGAGGGAGCCTGTGCCTTTTTCCCAATCCACCCAAGTATGTTTTGGAGGGTTGGGAATGTGATTTCTGAAGTGATTCTCTCTCTGCTCACAGGTTTGCTGTTAAAAATAACAGTTAAAGAATGCAGTCCGCAGGGGGATAGTGGAGCACATGCATATAGTGAAGCTCCCAGTCCAACCTCTGAATCACTAAAATGTGTGAACTAGAGAACTACCTGTCCTAGAAAATGGCTGATGATGCATTCCTAAAATGCTCAATAGGTAATAATTCCATGGAGCAAACATCTTAACATTCTGCTGTGCAGCGAAGTCCTGAGTATACTTGCTAAAAGACCGCTAACAGTTAATTCACTTTGAAGTAAGCAACTATAATATCAGATGAAATTATAAGCACCATTACTTGTAAATAAGCTCCATGTCAGACAATGGAACTGTTCAGTAACCATGGTTAGGAGGGCTAGGTAAAATCATGAAACCTACTCTTAGCCTTAGAGTGGGGTGCTCAGAAAGATTTTTAAAGTCCAACAATTTGTTGATTCTATGACTAATTTAGAAAATAAAGGTAAAATATAGCAAAAATAAATTGCCATTAATAGATGTAAGAAATAACTGGGTATGAAATCTTACACTGCAAATGAATATAAATTGCTTCATTTTTAAGACCTGTTTAAATTACATTCAGATTAGACTGTGATATTATACAATTATTGGCATTTCAATAAAAAATAATTGCCACTAGGTGGCAGAACATGCTTGTGAATTAAAGCTACCGGTTATTTCTATATACAAAGTTGATATTCCCTCTCAATACTTCATTACAGTAATCATTTTTCTTTATTCTTTTCAATAGATGCACGTGTCCGGCTCATTCTCACACTTACAGTCAAGGTGAACTGTGATTTTGTTTGTGTATCTATGTCAGCACATTAATTATTCTCTGTTCCAAGGTCTCCAAATATTAAATGTCTATTACATAATTGTTTACCAAGTAACCAGGTCAGTGTATTTTTCAAGAGAGTCTGCAGAACAAGGAGTTGTTGCTAGCATAATGCCAGCGAGTCCTTGCACTGGGTCCGGTGCTGCTTTGGGATCTTTACGTCTGGGAACAAGGCCTGTCAAGAAGACCTGGCCTTATTAGGAGAGAGTGCTTTTCCTTCCATGTGGTCAGTTCTCTAATAGATAGCAGATTTTGGTGAGCATGCACAGTATCAAAGAGTTTTGGAGAAGGCGCAGGTTGGAGTCTTAGAGCATATATCTCTTCATTTGAGTCAAAACTGAGGAAAAGAACCCTCTTCGGTAAGTCATAATTAGAAATTCATAAGATGGAATAGGTGTAGGATGTACTAGCTCTGTTCCCTCAAATGCTGTTATTTTTTATTATTAAAATAACAGCATTTATTATCTGTTTTGTTAAGCAAAACTTCACGTGACCATGCCAGACTTACAACATCAGTTCCACTGTGGTCATTAAGCAAATCACCCGCAGTCATTAGCGAGACATCACGTGACCGCAATTTTACTGCTGGTTTCTCCATTGACTTTGCTTGTCGGAAACCAGCTGTGAAGCTCACAAATGCCATTCACGTGACCTGGGAGATGCTGCAACAGTCCTAAATGTGCACCAGTTGTGAAGTGCCCAAATAGCAATCATGTAACCGTGGGGATGCTGCAACAGTCACAAGTTTGAGCACCAGTCGTAAGGTTATTTTTCAGCGCCATCGTAACTTTGAACGGTCACTAAATTGGGCAGTTGTTAACCAAGGACTACCTGTATTTATTACTATCAGGATTCTGAGGGATTTAGAAGTCCATTGCTGCAAGACACTTATGCTCCAACTTATGGAGAACAGTGGAGTTGGAAAATAAATATGTGTGTCTCCATTGTTCTACTTGATTGCAGCTGCATAGTTATAGGATACCTGAAGTGGCATAGACATTCATTTGCTCTGCTCCTTCATTTTAGATTAATACTTCACCCAGAGTGTTAGGTTTCTAGCTGCCTCATATCATGAATTTTTATATAGAGATTTAAGTTTTTAATTTCAAATCTATAGTTTGAATAAATCTGTTAGGTTACTAGTATTTTAAATAAAAAATATTCATATCTATATATTGTTGCAAAGAAAAGGAGATATCATGATTTATTTTATTTTGTCCAGGTAGAAATTGGAATTAGACAAATGTAGACTAATTATTTATATTATCAATACATGCACATGTACAGATTAATTAAACAGGCAGCATGAAAACAACCAATCAATAGTTGTACAAATCAATTATTCAGCTATAGTATTTGCTTGCCATTTGCTAAATTTGATTTTGGATATACAGCTTAATTTACATTAGTTTGCCTAGGGTCAATATCATGCAGCAGTGATACTGAATTATCTATGATTCACCTCTTTGGGAATCTGTTCCATAAGTATGATATATCTAAAATTGCTAGTTATGTATATTGCATTGTATTAGCAGTAAAACCTCTGGCACTGATAGATTGATTGAACTGCATAGCAAATATTTCAGATGCTCAGCAAATTTGGAATATTTGTAGTTCAGCTTCACTGACGGAAGTAAAAGCGATCATTTGGCTGAGATTAAAACATCATGCAAATACTAGGAACAAGAATACATATATAAAGAGACTAAGGATTAAGAAAAGGTCACAAGAGACTAGGATGATAAGGTTCAGGAAGCTCCAAGACCAAGCAGCTGAAGAAATGTGAAGAACAGACACACAAGTGAGAAATCGGCATGTCAGAGTTGTAAATAATGGAAGAATAAATATATTATGGGAAGAAAGGATTTATGAACACCAGAATAGGCAGCTTTGAGTCCATGGGCCCAAATGTGCCCATGAATGCTTTCTTTAAGACCCATCAGGTTTGGTATAACATCTGTCATTTTATTATTTTTTAAAACTAAAATTAATGGGAAGCTGTTATGTTGTAAAATGAAGTGCCAACCTCTGATATTATTTTTTTTCCAGTAATGTCTCTGGGACCTCTACATTATTTTTATTAAGCAGTGAAAATAGTGTGTAGTTGCAAACTAGTGTCTTGTTTGAAAAATGTGCCCATCCGTCCAAAGAAAAAATTAAGCAGGAGTGGTATTGAGCATCCTGAAGTTGTAGACCCAAACTGAGTCTCACCAGCTTGACTTTCTAGAAATGGTGTTTTATGAGTGGCAGATTATTTATGAATACAGATACTAGCCTCCATATGTTGACTATTTTGTGAGAGCACTCACAGTGTGTTTTTAAAATTCCAAATATTTGTACTGGCACAAAAAGTTTGTATGTCCTTGTTCTAGTATATAGGGTGCACTAGGAGAAAATGAGAGTGTTAGAGGATCTGATTAAGAAAGGCCAAAGGAAGTAAGACACACTAGTTTAAATATCTGAAGAAATTGCTGACTGGGATAGGGAGTTAAAGAAAAAATCAAAGAGTTATAGAGCACAGCAAAAAAGTTCACAATAGGCCTATCGCAAAGTTCCACATTCTAAAGTTTTGTTAGAATCTTTGAATGGCTTAACTTCGTAATCCATTTAGAGCATTTTGATTCCTGGGCAGGTTAGAAGCCTGAGGGGGGGAGGGAAGACTTAATTTCACACTTTGATTGGAGCCAAAGGGCTGATTCATCAGCTCTATGATTCTAGGAAAATAAACTCTGGACATCCTGAGAAAATATAGAATCACTTCGTATGAACTGCGTCATAATATTTGGGGCGGGGGGGGCAGCCATTTGGCTTTGTGCTTACCATGCTCATCTCTCAATCAGTGAATAACCTAGGAGCACCTAATTCTATGGCAGTGGTGAAGCTAAGAAAATGTGGGTTCAATCAGTGTATGGATGAGATCATTCAGAGCCATATATAAGCTGCTTAGAGGAGGAACAGTACATATACATCACAGTAACTCTAGTTTGATCTATGTATTTTGAATTATATAATTAATTTGTTTATTTGCAAAATTTCTATTCAGCTTCCAGTTTTAAAAAGCCTCAAAGCAGTTTACAATTAAAACAATCAGTTCAAACAATAAGAGTAATTGAAGCTGGTCATTTACAAAGCAAAACTTGCTGGTTATGAAGGAATCCAGGGGGTATGTTAGTTTTCTCTTACCTTTTGCTCTTCCTGCCACTTTGCATATTTTAATGGAAAAGCATTCTATACAAATTTCAGAAAATAAATATTAAACCACAGTGATAAATGAGTTGGTAAAAGAGTAGCTTTATTGTGAATCCTCTTTGGGAACCATTCTATGTTTCATGAATATGCCTGTTCCAAAGGAAACAATACAGTATAATTTTCCAAGTCCAATAAAGTCTCTAACAAAAGCTTAACTCTGCCAAATAATATAACAGCAGGATTTCTATTGTACCATCCAAAGAAAATAGTGGAAGTGGCTTGGACATGTTGTTGGGGTGTCAAATTAATTACAAAACTACCGCAGACTCAGACATTAGGGGAAGTCAACTGTGAGCAGAACTGGGAAGAGAAAGCGTAATGAGCAGCCCAAGGAGAGTAGGTCTAAGTGTGAATAGAGAAAACAAAAATGTTTCTAAATATATTTCTGTAGTTAATTATTAGGATCATTACTTCAGTGTACCTCAAGGTATCAGTAGGGTCATTATCATGGATTCACTGATTGGCCATAAATTCAGAAACTAAATATTGAATGCAGCTTCCAGACAGAAGAAGTGGTTAAACAAGGGAACCAATATCTTACTTTTTGTATATGGGAGAAGCTGGATTGTTTGATTCCTCCCTCCCTCCCTCCCTCCCTTACTCTGTGTGCTGCACTTGGAAGGAAATTATGGGTGGCTTGGCTCTAGACTTAGCTAGAAATCAAAATGAGTAACCGGGTTATTATTAAGGTAAGTCCCATTTTTTCAGTGGGTCTACTCTAAATACAGCTAAGTCTAAGTCCAATAATAATTACATATTTGGAAGGGGAGTCCAGAGGGGAGAGAAAAACAAATCCACTCTGCCTGGAACATAACATACCCCAATACAATGTTAAGCCAGTTCTGCTTAATTATGGCATATAGTTTACAAGCAGTGGACTTGTGTATGCTATTCTATCATTGTCTCCCCAATGCGTGCACACACACACACTTAGCATGGTCTTTGTAAAGATTCTCTTAATTTAAATAAAATTAAATGGGAGGTTGGCAGTCTGCAAAGGGCTAGTCTTAGGTCCACAGGCACTCTTAGAATTAAAATAGTACCTAAAAAAGCTGCATCCTTGGGGTATTAGAGGGCAACCAGAGAATCAAAAAGAGATGGTAGGGAGTTATGCCAGTTTGCCTTTTGGTAAATGCTTGCTTTGTGATTGGAAATGCCTTTTATGATGGCTGCTATATGAGTGGACAAGCTCTCCCCCCCCCTCTTATACATTATGTGAGAATTCATTCATTCATTCATTTATTTATTTATATAGCCGCCCATCTCACACAAAGTGTGAGAATAGCCACAACATGCTCTCAAAATCCAAAATGTGTTCACCAGATGAAAATATCTTGGGCTAACTAATGGGATTAATGTGAAAGTAATAACTATGTTGGAAACTGGGCTCTTAGTTTGTTGCTTCCTAATATGTCAGAGCCTGGATCCAGGTCAGTTGATGGTTTCCTGTTCCTAATCTCTTATGAGGAGAATGATAAAGGTACAATTTTCAACATATTAATTTCTGCTTGTGGGAAATGCCAGATGGGAATCATGGGACACTGTCCTTGAGTGCTTTGCTCGTTCTGCTTGCAGCTTTGGGAGGCTGCAGGCTGAATAAGTCAGAATTCAAACACACTCAGGACTGCTCAGAGTGCCAGTGGTTGTGTTGCTCAACCAGAATAAGAATAGTGAGTGAAATTAGACTTTTTATGGAAAGAAAGCTTTTCATCATGTAAAAATAAACTGTTTAAAAGAAGTAAACCTCTCTAGATCAGATGGTAGCATGTATACTTTTGAAAATGAAGACGAGGGCACAATTCCACTGAGACTAAGTAATGGTCTCGTGATATTTTTGGCCCCTTTGCTTCAGCTTTAGTTTTAGATCAATAAGTTTTGTGAGGTAAGTGGACAATTGTTGCTTATGAATTTTTAGGAATAGTCTCCAAACTGCTGGGATACTATCGATTCAGTTATGACCAGGTACCTGGCATCACAATCTCCCCATCCTCTCACTTTATATTTAAAGTAGTAAGATGCAATTCTAATTGGATTTGTTTTTTTAATATAATTTTATTAAAAATTTTAAAAACAAGAGTAAAAAGTAACACAAACTAAAATAAAGAAGGAAAAAGGAAAAAGGAAGAAATAAAAGAGAAAGAGAAAGTGCAAAAAGAAAAAAAGAAAAAAGTAGAAGAAAAATAGAAAAGAAAGAAAAAAGATATAAAGAAGTGGCTTCCGATCTTCTTTA